GGGGGTGTTCGGAGGTAAATTATAAGTATATTAACGAGAGTTTCGCTTTTAGCTCTGGCGAAATCTGTAGAATGATTATATCCCCACATGTGGGTTTTTGGTTAAGGTCATGTCCACACCAGCCCGTCTTTGACTCCCGCACGTGCATTTCGGCGTGTTGGTTTTTGGCACTGAGCCATCAGAAACGTCTATCTCCCGATGTGTCTCTGCTTCCAGGCTTTTCTCAGACACGTTTACTTCATACTGCGCTTGCGTCAACAGCACCAGCGGTATTCTCGTTTTTTCCCCTAACAACATGTCTCGCATGATAAGCTACGACGTTACGGCTTTTGATGGCTTTAGTTTGAAAGCGGGGCCAAAATGCACAAATGTATTCGTTTCAAATGAAAAGGCATTGGTGTGGACGAGTTCTCAGTGTGGGATAGTCGAAAAAACTGCATGGAAAAGGAGCCGTTTTGATGCATTTGTCAACAGAAACGGAGATTTTGCAAGGTCCTCTCATTTGTGTGGAAGCAGCCTGAGATAAAACAGAGAGAGTTAAGTTTGTTGCTATATTCCCATTTTATTTCAGTCACTTACACTACCTGCTTAACCTTTTTTAAAAGTTCCAATAGTGACCAACATCAGTTTTCTCCTAACGATATCCATACATTGTCAAGAGATTAGGTTATGAGAGTTAATATAATAATCACCTAAGAGAAAATGGTTCGATCTTCTATCAAATTCTCTCAACTAATTCTTTAAGGAAATATATAGAGACCAGTTTGGAGAATTTGTATGTGGATATTGGGGCTTAATGGGTTAAATTCAGGTATAGGTTTAACCAATTCAGTGAAGATAACAAATGGCAAAGTAATCTCACAGCGCTAAAATTTTACGTTCCGACAGTTATACAAAAATAGTTAATTACTCTATCTTTAGAGAAATCATTACTAAATGGATAGATAATAGATATATCACTTTTATGCAAAAGTATCTTGTTTCAATACAAAGTCAAAGGGATTGCAAAATCCATTTCTAATTCTATCGTTTATTTCTCAAACCATTGTTATATAAGAATGTATGTTTATTTGAATTGTATACATTATGATTTAAAAGCATCACTTTTTACCAATTAAGAGTCATGGCAGTAGGTATATCGTATACCTCAAGGCAAAGTGCAGGCTTCTTTAACTAACTCTTTCACTCCAGAATGAACGGAATCCTATGAGGTTGTTCTAACTTTTGAGTCTGTGGATGAAATCCGTTGGTGTGACCATTCAAATGAAACCTCTTCAGCAGTACTTTCACATGGTACTATTTATTTAGTATGTAGTTCTAACTTTTGAGTCTGTGGATGAAATCCTATGGTGTGACCATTCAAATGAAACCTCTTCAGCAGTACTTTCACATGGTACTATTTATTTAGTAAGTAGTGCTGACTTTTGAGTCTGTGGATGAAATGCGTTGGTGTGACCATTCAAATGAAACCTCTTCAGCAGTACTTTCACACGGTACTATTTATTTAGTATGTAGTTCTAACTTTAGAGTCTGTGGATGAAATCCTATGATGTGACCATTCAAATGAAACCTCTTCAGCAGTGCTTTCACATGGTACTATTTATTTAGTATGTAATTCTAACTTTTGTGACCATTCAAATGAAGGCTCTTTGCTTGGCAGTGCTCTTACTTTGTACAATTTGTTTCTCCCAGTTTAATAGAATGAAATTTAGAATTTCTGTCCAATTTAGACTTTGGCCTTTTCTGTGAGTGAAAGAGTTAACGAAACCACTATAGGCGGTGTTGGGATAACAGAAAAAATGATAGACAAACATTAATTCAAAATTAAATAACGCGTTTGTAAATAAACAGTACGATATCACGAAATGCTTTGGAATGCTACCTTCTTTCAATTGTAAAAGACTAGAAATATCCCTTTTACTTAGAAAAAAATTTAAATGAACTATATGCTTGTCTTTTGACTACAAAACGGTCCCAGGTCACCAGGTATGGACCTCACGGTCTTACACTATTAAATCAGCCCAAAGCCCATTCCTTCCAGGAAAGCTCCCGGATGAAACGGTTAGCGCCTAACACCACTCCGGGCTACTGAGACTGCGTTCTAAGGGAACAAACCAGTGCCGGATCCAGATCCTGAAATAAGGGGGGAGGGGGGGGGGGGCGGTAATCCAGACGCTGAGATAAGGGGGGTACCCGGTCTCCAATTTTTTGTTTTTTTGTTTTGTTTTTTTTATTATTTATTTAAGCCCTTCGCGCCTCAGTTTGGTCATGGGCTCCTGGTTTGGTCTAGAAATAAGGGGAGGGGGAGCGGGCCCCCAGCGCCCCTCCCCTGGATCCGCCACTGCAAACAATTAACACTACTAAGACGTAGTGAAATCATGTTCAAACTGAACCCAGCTAGTTGTCACCATTCGATGATGAACACATCTTAAGGTGGTTCTTCTGTGAGGTAGACATCTCTCTGTGAAGGACTGAAAATAAGCCAAACACCTTTTTATATTTGACACCCCTAAGATAGTTACTTGTTCAAGATGACCAATGTGAAACACAGACACTACTCAAGGGTTGTAACTCGGGGGCTCTTGCTTGTAGTACGCAAGTCCCCTTATTGGAACACAGACAGAAGCCCGTATTGGGCAGTGCGCTCCCAAGGGTACTTACCACCAGACAGTGGCATGTAAGCCACCTTTTTTAGCGCACCGGAGAAATGTACCGTTTGAATCTCATAAAAAAAGGCGCGAACATAAAAATCGAAGGATTTGAACGCAGAGAAGGGTAAATGGCAAGCGACAGTTTGTTTAGTCCATACCGACCGGAATGAAGGTACGACCTCAAAACGAAGTCCTAAATGTTCGGTTGGAATTTCCGAGAAAATAACCTTAACATTAACCTTCCATCCAAACTTTTCGGAATTTTCGGCTTGGTGGCAAGCGCTTCTGGTATCCGGTATCTGCTTAATACAGGTTTGAGCCAAGATATGTATCATAAGAATGGGTTTTGGACTTACGAAATACAGCGCCACCGTTTAAAACTTTTTTAACGAAAGATCTAGCAAAACATACAAATTAGTCTCTATTTATTACTATAAAACTCTATTGTTTTTCAATTTTTGGCTCGTTTGCTTTCAAATAAGGATTTCATGGCTGTTTTAAGTCCGCTGTTGCCCGCTTTTCCTGAAACAGAATAAACAGAGAAATAATTTTACTAGGACTGAACGTTACAGTTAACCACGGTTTACGTTGTAAACAATTTTATCATTTTTCAAATTTTGTTGAGTATAAACCCCTGATCAGTCAAAATGAAAAAACCGAGACGTGGTTTTGTGATTTTAGCATATAGAGTGTCTTCACTCATGTGACCAGCATCCATGCAAATTTATTGGAACAAAAGAAAGCGTTTACATAAGAAAAGAGTTCAACTCCCACAGGACTGGTTTGGGACACAAACATGGCTGCCGTTTCATTGTTTTGGGACACAAATATGGCCGCCATGACGTCATGTGAAAACACACAATTTTATGTTAAAGATTTAAACTTGCTTTTAAAGCGGAATCCTTGTCTAAGATGTTTGCTTTCTGGATAACGTAATTTCCGCAATACTAATCCACTGGATAGCAAGTTATTCGGTGGAGAATGTTACACGCCTTGAGCAATTAGGACCTGTACACTGGGAACAACTTGGTTTACCGTCGACCCACGCAACAACCTGAATTGAAGGAGGAAATGAGCTTGGTGCGCTAGTTGGAGGAAAGATAAGCTATTATTGGGCAAGCAAGAACGGTTCCGTATTT